TAAACATCTCTGCAATCTACTCTGGACCACTAACACAGTAACACTAGTGAAAAAAAATCAGAAGAATCATCTACCAGATGTCCAGATGACAGTGTCCCTAAGGGAGGAAAATAAAACCCCCAATACCATACAATAGCTTTGGTAATCATAATGTGAAGAGACTTGAGGATTTGAAATTTGTTGTGCACCAAACTATGGAAAGGGTAACCAAATAATTAAAAGAAAGAAAAGTCATTGCAAATCTCTCCATTGGCACATTTGATTAGGAAGGACTCAGTTGGAGACAATAAGCAAGAAGTGTATACTATGGATGTAAAAGATCAATGTCGAGCCTATCATTCAGAAACATAATTCACTTCAAAGTTCAATACTCCCAGCTTCTTAAAAAGTTTAATTTCAATCTTTCCAGCCACAGCGTAATTGATTTCTGATTCACTATAGTGAACCAAAAAATCCACAAAAGATGCTAATGCCTCTCTGTCTTTGTTAAAGCTCCAACAATAGTAATCCAATCCTATTACTATGACAAATTGATTTCTACTACTAAAAAATGGAAATTCATAGCATGATCTCAAGTAACAAAGCTACATTAGTATCATTCAACAGAAAATCATATTGCACTATCAAATAATCACATAATAAATTGCATTGCATCTAAAGATAAATAAATACCACATGATTTTAATGTACCATACAATATAAAAGGCAAATGGACATACCTCTACTTCCATAGCACTAAAACCGAAACCAGAATCTCCTTCAACAGCAACCACCAAGCGATCAGGGCAAGCCACAGCGGCCGCAATACAGTAACCTAAACCAACTCCCATAGTTCCCCAAGTACCGGCATCCAACCTCGTCCTAGGCTCCGTCTGAAGCAACACAGCTCGCCCAACATCCATAGTATTAGCCCCTTCAGACACCAACACAGGCGCAGGACTCCCAACTCCAATAATAGCATCCCTAATGATCCTCAAAGGAGTGAAAAAATTAAAGGGCACAACATCCTTAGCCAACTGACCCTCCATCCTAGACACATTATCCTTAGCCTTCTTCGAAATCGCCTCGACCCAAGGATGATTCCTCCCTAAACAAAAGGGATCATCCTTGATCACCTTATTAATCAAACCCACAACCTTCTTAGCATCCCCAACTAACCCTATATAAGGCTTCCTAAGCTCAATTTCCTCCTTACAAACATCAACCAATATAAACTTGACATCCTTAGACCATTTTGGGGGCTCCCCAAAGTGAAGCAACCAATTTAGCCTTGCCCCAACAACAAGAGCAACATCACATTGTCCAATTGCAAGCGACCTCGCCGCGGTTGCAGCCAATTCATGATTGTCTGAGATCAAACCCTTCCCCATAGGCGTGGGCAAGAAGGGCATCCCAGTACTATCAACCAACTTCCTTAATTCATCCTCGGCCCTCGAATACGCGGCCCCTTTTCCGAACACAATCAACGGCCTCTGCGCGCTCCTTAGCGCAGCCACCGCGTTTTCTACATGGGAAATGGCCGTCAAATTCGACGAATCCGATGATTCCTGTTCTTTTTTCACTTGTTCCTCCGCTTTCGCAATGAGATCCTCCGCCTCAGCCTCCGACACAGTCTGGTGGAGAACATCCGTGGGCAAGTCCAGGTAACACCCACCGGGCCGACCCAAAACGGCCCGGTTCAAAACCCGGAGAACTGCACCCGGAACTTCGGAAATGGAGGTGGGTTTAACGGATAATTTCGAAAAGGGTTCAACGGCTGAGATTTGATCAAGCTCTTGGAAATCTCCTTTACCAGAATCACGTTGATCGGATGAGCCCGAGATGAGGACCATGGGCCAGGTGTTAATGGCGGCGTTGGAGAGCCCGGCAAGCCCATGGACGCAACCCGGCCCGGAAACGGTGAGGAGAATTCCGGGTTTTCCGGTGAGGTAGCCGTAGGAAGAGGCGGCGTATCCGGCGGATTGCTCGTTGTGGAAGGCGATGAAGCGGATACCTTGGGAAACTGCACGGGTTGCGACGGAGGTTACGGGGATTCCGACGACGCCGAACATGTGGGTGACGCCAGAATGGGCGAGGGTTTTGGCGACGAGAGTGTTGCCGTCGATTTCCGCCATTGAAGGAGGTTAGTGAGGTCGGAGTTTGGGGTGGTGAGTGTGGTAGTGGATAGAGACGTGGAGTGTGGATGAGTGGAAGAAGAAATTAGGGGGAGCAAAAAATTTTGGGGGTTATATATGAGTTTGTTTTTGTAATACGCGGTTTATGAGGCTTTGGAGAGTGAAGTGAATATTTTCTTATGTTCTTACAATCATACATTCATACATGAACATGTACGAGTAGTAATCTACAAGTTATTGCAATTGAGGGCGACAAGTTTCCGATAAATGACTTATACATCAGCAACTTTTTGGTGTAGCAGGCCACACCATGTGACAGGGATTACCCGAGTTATTTTGTTAGGGGTTATCCGAGTTATTCAGTCAGGGGTTACTTGAAGGGTTCGGACAGGAGTTACTCGAGGGCTTCACTCGGTCAAGGTTACTTGAAGGGTTACTCGATCAGGGTTTACTCGAGGGGTTACTCGGTTAAGGGTTACTCAAGCTACTCAGTCAGGGGTTACTCGGTTAAGAGTTATTAAGGAGTTCAGGGGTTACTCGAGTAATTCGATTAGGGGTTACTTAAGGAGTTCGGTCATTGGTAGTTACCTGAGGGTTCAGTCAGGAGTTACTTGATGGGTTACTAAGTCAGGGGTTACTTGAGGGGTTACTCGGTCATCAGGGATTACTCGAGGGGTTACTTGGTAAGGGGTTACTCGGTCGGGAGTAATTCAAGTAACCCCTGACCGAGTAATTTGAGTAACCCCGACAACTCAAGTAACCCTGACCGAGTAACTCGAGTAACCCCGGCAACTCGAGTAACCCCTGACCGAGTAACTCGAGTAACCCCTGACCGAGTAACCCCGGCAACTCGAGTAACCCCTGCCGCACGGTACAGCAGGCCGCATACAAAAAATTGTGTTTATACATTTATACAGGGCGTTTAGTACGAGGAATAGGATAAGTATAGAGAATTGGTGAGTGGGATAAGGATAAATAATTGTAATTCCATATTAAGTATGTATTCTATGTGGAAATAAATCTGGAATAAGTGATAATATCATTAAATTACCTTTACTAATTTCCTTCTATCCTTTTTATCTCCCTAAATGAACACTCCATTTGTGGACATTTACAATGCATATGATCAAATAATCAAATATATTTGTTCTTTCTTATAATAATCAAATATATATGATCAAATATATTTATTCTTTCTTATAATATATTTGTGGACATTTACAATGCATATGAATATTCTGCATTCATTAATTTATTATAATCAAATCGAACAATAAACTAAATAACACTTAAGGACATTTTGCTAATATTGCTTCTTACAAAAAAAGAAAAAGTTTGTACATTAACATCTATAAGACCGTTTCGCTACAGATTTATATATTTGACTATAAGATTCCCCTCTTACACCGTATATACACATTTTTATTTGACTATCTTTGTAATTCATACATGAAAAAAACACACAATTGTAAACATATAACTCTTTATTGTTTTTTCTACTTCTACATAATATAAAAGAAATATGAAAAATACGGTCAATATAGAGTGCTATTCAAATGACGAGATTTGTCATTGACATTTACTACTCGTCTTAGTGGTTCCTTCTTTTTGGGTGAGGAGTGGAAATTAAATTATGAAGACAAAGTTGGCCTAAAAAAAGTTGAGATTAGGTGAACGGCACGCGAAGGAATTGAATGGGAGAAAGCGAAGTTAAAGTTGATATCATCCTCAAATCTTGGTAGTTTGGTGATGATTTGATTACTATTTTGTTGATATTTGTAATAGTTTAATAATGTTGTAATTGTATATACAAGTATCATCTTTGCCTTGGATGTAGCTTGGGTGGAGTAATTCTTTTTCATTCAAAACCGAATTTATGGAAACATAATAAGCTTAACTTTTTCTAATGGAGATTTGCATGCAACATTACTTCATAAAGCAACAGTACAACTAAATTGGACAATATAAAGAATTTATGTATGAAATTAAGGTTGTTTGTATGTTCGACAACTTGCACACAATAATTGCATGACTGGTTATATTGATTAAATCCAATCAATGTTAATCACAAGATGTATTTGTAATAGATTGAATGGTAATTGATCATATATAATTAGAGTAACATAATGATCAAAACAAGTCATTATTTTTAGTGATACAAATGATACATGCGTGTGACGCTTTATGGTCGCATAAGTCTATATATATATGCATTATAAGTTTATGTTAGATATTATGGACAATTATTAGTTTGAAACCATCTTAATTAGAAATAATATCATTTGACTATTTATTAAGGTTAGTAAGGAACAATAATATTTGGTGGTCCATATTCCATAAACAGTCTAATAACTAAAAATACTCGTAATCGATATAATTATGTCGCTCAGATCAGATTTGGGTCTTGCCTAGACAGGTCGGATCACGCTCAGCAAAATCGTTCGAGTTGATACCAAGTTCACCACCAACAATAATTATAAAATAAATCAATAATCAAATCAAACGAGGCCAAATGATTTCGTGTACATATTAGGTGTTGTTTGGTTGGAGGTAAAATACATGGGAAATTCTATTTCCTAGGAAATGGATATGACATGTGTTTGTTTGGTTGACACAAAAGTGTTAAATTAGAGGAAATAGAAATTCCAAGGGAAGTTTGAATTCCCATGAAACATGGGAAATCACTTACCAAGCCCCCCTTGGTAAGTCACATTTTCCATGATTATTGTGAGGCCTACTTGCATTATTAGCACTAATAATTTAATCTCTTTCTTTCTCTCTTCAAATTTGTTCACCTAATTAAAAAATAATCAAGCTAATTAATAAAACATAGGAAATCAATTCCTAGGAAATTTAAGTTCCCATATCTTCAACCAAACAAACAAATGTCAATTCCTAGGAAATGGACAAAGAAAATTATATGGGAAATTATTTCCCATGAAAACTCATTTCCCATATCAACCAAACAACACCTTAGTTTTGTCAAGTTTACAAATAATAAAGTATTTGAGTGAGTGGTAAGAATTAATTACAAGATCCCTTGAAATCGAAAGAAAAACTCGACCAAGTGAGTTAATTTACAATTATAGACCCGGGAAAGTGCATCATACGGGTGACCCGAATCAATACAACCCGACCCAAAATTCCTGAATAGCTAGCTGTCTTCTCTTCCCCCAAAATCTCACATAAACCCTACTCTTTCTCCTCCATCTTTCTCTCTTCCTTTGCACTTCAATTGCAGAACAAAATAAAAAAAATAATAATTAAAATTTTTAAAAAATGATAAAGAGAAGATTTTACAGAGCAGACCGCGGCGACAACGACAAGGACGACGCTTCATCGGATTCTTCATCGGATTCCGAGGTTGAAGTTCGGAGCTCCGATGAATCGGAAGAAGATGAACCAACGCACCTTGAACACGAACCCGATTCCAACGTTGAAGTTGACAATGATGCTGATAATGACGACAATGAAGATGATGATGACGATGATGTTCCTTCTCCTTCGAAACTTCAACAACCTTCTTCCTCTTCTTCTGGTTCTCTCTCTTTCTGGGTTTCTTTGAATGTTATATTTTGTTTAATTTGTAATTGGGTTTTGTTTATTGGTTTTAATTTGTAATGGGTTTTATTGGTTTTAATTTGTTATGGGTTTTTGTTTATCGGTTTTAATTTTGCAGGGTATGAGAGTGAAGATAGTTCTGCTAATGAAATTGATGCTGAATCAGGAGAAGGTAATTTACATTGTTCTTCTGTTTGTAATTTTAAGTAAATAGGATTGGTTGATAATGTGATTGATATTAATGGAAGCTAGAAAGTTTGGATTTTGATTTAGTTCTGATATGCTTGATTGTTGTGAGTTAAGTTGATTGATTAGTGAGGAAATTGGTTTTCCTGTTAATTTTCATTTTTACATGGGAAATGCCAAATTTATTAGCTAAGTTTTAAGTTATCATTTAGATGATTAGGCATTGTTTTTGGTGTAGTCGGAATAATCGAAAACAAAGGAAAAGAGAAAGAAGATTGTTTGTATTATGTTGGGCTGCTGTTGTGTGGTTTAATACTATTGAGGTAAGAATAAGCTATAGAAGTAGTATGAGAGGCTGAACTTCATTGGTGAGAGTTTGATAGTGGATTTTTAGGATGATCTTGACCATTTGCTTTTCACTGAAGTGCTTAATTTCTGCGCGGGTGCCTTGTAGAAGGTGGCATTTTGCTTGTGAGTGGCTCTATTGGATTCGCTAGTTACGTGTTATAGCTAGGTTAGGAATATAAATGATCAAAATGAGGGTAGAAGTATTGTATGGCTTCATCAGGAGTAATTTGGGGTATGATTGCAATTTGCATGGCCAGTTTAGAAATTTTGTACATAGGCCAAGCATATGTGAAATGACGGGGAGGGTTCACTATGGATGAAAAAGGTTGACTACTAACTAATGGCTTCTTAGACAGTATTTAGATATATCTATGAGTATTCGTTTTGGGAAAATAGGTGAAAGATTGCTAGGTTTATTTCATATATCAACAGCAATTATTATATTGCCTGTTTTCCCCCTGTATGTCTAGTGGTTTATTTCTTACAAGGCTTGAGATTTTTGAACTGTTTTGCTTGAATTAAAAAAGGTATGGATACACAAGCAAACTTTGAAAAAATCAAATTATGGGTTTTGAGTCCATACCATAAAAGAAAAAAAAAAAAAAAGATTAATTGTACAATAAGACAGGTAGAAAAAAGTTTTGTAGCTCCAATCCATGCCCAGGGTTTCTTGTTCTCATACCATTCCATGCTAAGTTTTACAAATGCTGCTCTTTTATTATCCATCATCTGGGTAGTTTTGTCTGATCATTAATCAGTAGTTCAGTAATATTAAAGAAACTATTCAAATTTTTAAGGAATTATGAATATTGGCAGGTTTACTTGCAAATGATGATGACAGCGGATCTGAGAAAGACGGTGACCAACTTAAGGAGAGCCTCTTATGTAACAAAGAGAGTGGTGAATTAATAGAGACACAGACTGAAGATCAATCAGCTGTGGATGATCTTCCAAGATGTGTTTTGAAAAGCAAATCAGTATTTAAGTGCAGGCTTTGTCCGAAAATTGTCTGTCTGAATGAAGAGAGTTTAAAAACTCACCTCAAATCCAAGGTTTGACATTCGACCTGAAAGATTCATAATGCTTTTTACCTGAAATATTGCTTTATTACACTCACTCTTTATTTCATTCAGAGACATTCAAGATCAGAGAAATTACTGAATGGAGGAAGATTAAGGCGTTATCTCAATAGTGACGGGGAAGAAGAAGTAATTTCTGACGATGATTGTGAGACTCATGCTGAAAGACATGCAAGGATTATTGCCCTGGCACAGGTTTGTCAATTCTCTGTCGGCAGATTTGCGACATTTCCCCCCATCCCCTACAACAACATCAATGCTTTAGTCCCAAAATGATTTCAGGTCGGCTAAGATGAATCGTTTTGAGGAATTGTACGATATAAAGATAAGGAAATAACAAAATAATCATTTGAAAGAGTTTGAAAATCCTAAGATACCCCCCCCTCAAAAAATCCCCTGCCCGGAAAAAAAGGGAAACCCAACCAATCCTCTGCCCGCTAAAAAAGAACTCCGTCCAGTTCAAATTTGCTCAGTTTTGTTCAATATTCAATAGTCCTTTCCTTTGGGCTTTGAGACATGGCAATAGTATCCTCATGAATTTCTTCACTTGTCATTTTAGGACACATCAGTGAAGAAAAGCAAAGGGCGGCAACGACAAAGGCACCGGTTAAAAAGAAAGGTGAATTGGTCTCATATGTTTTACAATGAGCTTTATATATATATGTGTGCTATCAGATTTAAAGCGTTGCTTTGTTAAACTGCAGAAGAATTCTTCAACAGTACCAGGCTCTGGACAACAGAAGGAGAACCGCGCTAAGAGGAGAAGAAAAAATGCAGATTGATCCTAGTCTGTTTCATACTTGGAGGGACTATACTCGTAGGCATTGTAGCAATTTGTTATAGCCTGTAAACTGTTGTGATATCGGATACTGTTTTTGTCATCCAAACTATACATTCCAAACACTTATAGTCTTTCGTTGGAAATTTGTTAGTAAAAATTTGTTCATGTCTTCATAAGGCTTATAACCTACTTCAGCTAAGGATTGGCAATATGATTTTTGCAACAGCAAGGCATGCTTTGAGAAAAATCAATCAAAAAAGAAGGTAAAAATACGTGCTGAGGACACAATCCGTCCTGTCATTTTGACACCCTTACCTTGTGTACATCCTAGTGTACAATAAATTAGGGGAATTGCTTTGAACTAACTAACAAAAGGAAAATATCTTGACACATACTAAATTTATGTACACAACTACACATTAAAGACGAAAAGTCTAATGAACACCACTTACATCCATTTTCCGAGTTTGAGAATGAAACATTTCGGCAGTTTCTGAAGAGGTACTGCAATCTTCTGGTTGTCTGTCCGGACGGGTACGGATGAATCTTGGAAACCTCATAGAAATACCTCGTGAAGGATGAACGATTCCTACGGCAGCCTTGTGAACAGGTGATACAGTGAGGTCTGCACCTCTTATCTCCCACACCAATTCAGCTGAAAACCACATATCAGGAACTTCATCTGTTCGGTAATACAAGGGCTTCTTGATCAAGATCTTATCTCCAGAGAGAAACTCTTTCATCTGTAGTTCATTAATTGTAAAAAATAAATATTTATTCTTCAATATAATAGATTCATATATTGAAGACTGTACAGCTACTTATGCCAAAAATCAAACCATAGCGGAAGGATCAGAAAGACAACATCATTCATTATCATCCCAGTTCCCAAAAGCACTATAGAGAGTTGATAGTCACAGTATCAGTTTTAACTGAAAGAAATAATCAAAAAAAATTCCATGAGGTGAGAACAACCCCCCCCTCCCCCCCCCCCCCCCCCCCCCCAAAAAAAAAAAAAAAAAAAAAAAAAAAGGAAAGAAATTTAAACCAGCCGGCAAGCTAGTTATCACCAAGCATTCCACATGCAACAATGATGACCTTAACATAAAAAAGATTATGCATCCAATACCAAACTAACAGGGATGGAGATTAATGCTAATCAAGTAGGAAGTGCGTCGATCCTCTTATTTTGATTTCTCAAACCAAGAGATTCATAAATCGGGAGCTAATTTCCAAGTTGACCAATGATAGATGGGTAGGAATGGCAGAACCTAAACGAGGAATTCTACAATAGCCATTAGCTGCTCAAAGTTCTCCCTTTAGGACCAATGTCTAGAGACACTCTTATATAATCAATCATTAATGCTGATACATCGTCATGTATCTAAATTAAATCGACTTAGAATTATGCATCCTATCTCCTATGTTTATCAAAAGAAAAGGTCACAATTTCATTTCTGCCCAACTCAACTTACAATGTTCATTAGTGGTATTAGTTAGTCCTTTAATACAAAGCCTCTTTTAGTTTTGCGCGGAAAAAAAGAAAGTTGTAAATTCCTTAAAACTAATGATTAAAAGTACATATCTGCATGTGGGGTTAGAGAGAGATAGAGAGAAAGAAAGTAGTTGGGAATAATTGAAGAGATAGAGAGAGAAAGTGTTAGAAATTGATGTTAAAAGTATAGAAAAGTAAAGAAAAAAAGATGACAACTCATCAAAAAGAGGGTAATAATGTCAAAAAATATAACCTTTAAATAGAAAGAGGCATTGTATTTGGTTTACCCAAAAAGGAAATGAAGCTTTGTATTAAGGGATAGAGGGAGTACTCTATTACTCACCTAACACCAAGAGTACAAGAACCTTCAAAAAGAAAAAAACCAATGATATGTGAAAGGGTGGGGGATACAAAAGGTCTATTCTCTCAGTTTCGTGACCTTCGACATTATGTGAAGCAGTCACTAACTACCTGCCATTCAGAAAGGGGACATTCTGAACGATAACTTCTAAATAAAGTAGTGTGCACCTTTCACTTCATAGTCTGTAAGTCTGCACCATCTTCAATTACTCCATACATTTTAACAAATTTCCCTCAACCCCCTCTTTCCCCAAAGGCCAAAACAGAAGGGGAAAATTTTAAAAAGTTTACTAGTAAAAACATCTTGACAAGACTTCAGCAGAACAACCCAGAACAAATTACCTCTTTGTAGAAAGCATCCGTAAATCCTGACATAACACGGCATACACTTTCAAATTCCTCTGTATCAGGATTGTAACAAGCCATAAGAAATGGACTATACCTGCAAAGATTGATTAAAAAAATGATAAAAATATATATATATATATATATATATATATATATATATATATATATATATATATATATATATATATATATATAAATCAAATAGCCAATTCATATTGATAAAGTGATATAAGCAGCACTTGGAAGTGTATCACACTGCTATCATGAACTTAAATGCCAAGGAAAAGTTGACAAGAAAGGGGTATCATGAGATGTTTTCGATGCAAAGTAGAATTACCATCCTGCCTTTCTCCCATTGCCATGCCAAGCACCAATGGGTACTAAATCAAGGGAGTCCCCCACACCATCCATATAATCTCGCTTTACCTGAGGAAAGTAATTATTGTTAAGACTTACAGGCTCAATACCGATTTTTTTATTAACATTCAACATAATGAACAGTGAAATAACCCAGAAAGCACCTTCAACCATGTATCTGCACGCTTTGAAGCAAAGTAGCCAGCATCAACATCTAGTGATTTAACCATAATTCCTTCACAAGAAGACTGGAATGCATCTTCAAGGAAAGCATTAATCTTCATCAGAGTGGCTTCACAGTCTGGATGAGCTTCATCTGCTTCCACCTGGGGAACAAGGGGCTGTTTTTAAGAATGGCCATAAAAAGGTCAAACTCGATCAATAATTCAATCAACAAATGATGCACTTACAGTTAATTCCTTTGCATATTCCAAATAACCAGGCTTATTCCCTCTAAAAAGACCGTTCATGCCTATGCATATTTCGAATTTCAGATCAATATTAAATCACACACTTTTGCCATCAGCATAATATTTATTTTCTCATTGGCACAGAAAAATGAATGATCGAAGGATAGAAAAATGCATACACTGCCGTCTCTCCCTGAGTGAGCAAGGCAACAGCCTGGATCACATAATTTATTTTCTGTCAGCACAAAATTGCATAAATCTAACACGAAAATACTTTGGAGCCAAAAAAAAATAGATTCAAGATTATCTAAAGAGAACAGACAAAATTAATCATCAATTATAAAAGGAAAAAAAAAAAAAAAAAAAAAAAAAACCTATAACTTAATATTGAGGTCAATAACTGTAATGGACCGGGCTGCCAACACCAAGCAACCACCTTTGTTGGGGTATGCAAGGCAGAATCACAGAAAGAGGGGAGACAAGGGTCAGCAGCCAAAAGTAACAGAGGGCAATTCCATGCTACATGACAAAAGTAATTAAGACTCCACTAAGAGGAAGGGCAACAAGTCCTGCAAACTGATTCTCTCTAAAGCAGCAGTAGATGACAAACTTAATTAATGTTAGGTTAACTTTTGTAATTGGTAGCTTGAGTATATAAGCAAGTAGTAAGTTGGCAGTAGGATTCATTCAGAAATTTGTGAGGAAATTGTAAGAGTTGTAGCCTCAAGTCACAAGAGAGATTGATAGCCTAAAGCTATTGTTGAGACCGTTTGTCATTATCTAATTAACAAGCTTCCATCCTTTCCATAATTCGTGTTACATTTACTGCTTGAATATTGAGGCTATAACAATAACTCCCCCAACACAGAAAGAGTATTAGAAAAAGAAGGAATGAAACTGGAAAAGACCACACAAAATATAACAGAAAACATAGAAACGAAAGGCAGAAATGAAAATACATAAACTCTAGGCAGAAAAGTCTAGATGATTACTTCTCTCCATTGACGAGCATGACATCGAACACATGGACACAGATGTCAACCTGCAATTCCGCAATTTAGGGTGAATAAAAATCATAAAATGACCAAAAGGGGGAGGGATTTGGAGTAGCTTTAAAATGTTTTTGAGGTCTGGGACATCATCAAAATCCCCATCAATCTGAAATTCGCTAACCTAATGCGAAGTATATTAGTATGAAAACTCCCCAATAACAAAAACCTTTATAAAAGACTAACAATCAAAATTCAACCAAAAAATGTCATCAGTAAACATTTTTGACTAAGGGTGGCACTGAGCATCTAACAAACTTTTAGTTTTCAAAAAGTCAGCAGAGAGTTGGACAAAAAACAACAATATACATGATCATATATTCAAATCATTGGAGTATCCAAGGAACAGCTATATACAGTAACTAGTATAAGTCCCGTGCAAATGCACGGTTTTTACAAAATCTTATTACGAATTACAACGTTTAGTTATTACTACAATAATTAATTTTAAAAATGAATTACATTACTTTACATAATAAAACTAACTTCATTATATACAATATATTATAACAATAAAATCAAGGTCAATACCCGTGCAATACATTTTTAGTCCCACACTTTGATAGGCACATGGGTAATAATTTAATTAATAATTTGTTTCATTTTTAGTGAATGGTGGAGAATTTAATTTTTGTTTTATTAGTACTATTGTTATGATTATAGTCAATGGGTATTTTTATCTAATATTCCTATAATATTAAACAAAAAAAACATTGTTATGTATAAATATATAATTTGATTTATTATTTAGGATTACATATTTGTATCATGTTTACAAAATGAGGTGCAATGTTAATAAAAATATAGATTCTTACAGCTTCATTTATTTTACTTTTCATCGAAAATTGTTGATGGGTCATTCTTGAAAATAAAATATAAAGTACAAAATATGCATATAATTAGACAAAAAAGAATAATTTAAAGTCTTATAGAAAATTTCTACTTTAATACCCAATAAAAATGGTAAGAAAGATATGAAAATATATATTGGTAGAACATATATGGAAGAAATTTGATGTCAAATATATATAGAAGTTAATATTTGGCAAAAAAAAAAAAAAAAAAAAAAAAAAACCATTTCGGCGGGAAAATTTTTAATAAGAAGATGACACGTGTCATCCAAAAGTTCGCCTTAATAGATCACTTGCATCA